CATCCAGCTGTGATGAAACTACAACTCCCTTCATGCATCTTCCTGGGAGTCATGCTTGTGGCTGGAAAAATCTTGTAATGTCTCATGGGATTTGTAGTTCCACAACAGCTGTAGGGCTGGAGTTTGCCCACCCCTGGTATAGGTAATGGCACATTATTGCTTCATGTGTGGTGTTATTGAATCAAACTCTGTAACTAATGTAACATGTAAAAGCCAATTTTTTTTTACCGTTATCTTATGTCTCAAATTCCCTCAAGAATCTTGTACGGGAAAAAAGAACAGAAAAACGAAATGTGTGTGTACACAGGCCCCGGCTCTTATACACAAAGCAAGCAGAATGATCCAAGTTTACTGGACGGAGGACAGATGTGGCTAAAAAATACATTGTAACAATGACAAACACTAATAGGGTGTAGCCAGTTTAATGGTGAGAAAAATTTCCTCGGCATCCATAAATCTTGCACTTACAAACACCACACGCATTTTAATAGCCGCCTTTTTGCCAAAATACACACAACGGAGCAGGTACGAAAGCTGAATCCCATTCTGTCATTGTTTGGCCGTTGTTTGTGTTACATGCTCCTTATAAATCAAACAAACTCTTTTTTTTGGCTTGTGAGTAAATTTCTTTCAGATGGTTCAACATTCTTCAATAAATACAGTTTGCTTAAACTTGGTGGCTAACTTATTAGTTGCTCATGAGTCCAAATAGTCAAATTTATAAGAAGTCAAAAATATCAAATCAAGAAAGTCAAATCCTTTCTCTGTAACCCAATACACAAAGCATGAAGACATGGTCAAGAGGTGGTTCAATCATGGCTCAGTGGTGGTTCGACCAACCATAACAAAGGGGAAGATCTGTAATCTAGAGTACATTGGCAGTGGAAAGGTTGTTGATACCACAAGTGGTATTTGCAACAACAATCTATAGATTTTACAGAGAATGGTGTAAAAAAAAACCAGTGAGTGTTGGTTCTGTGGAGAAAACACATATGGGTCTATTCACTAAGCTGCCGTAGGCAGCCGAGTGAATGACCGACCTAAAGCGAAGTGAGCCGAACGGCATTCGGCTCGGCTGTTCTGCTCGGTCCCTCTGTGGTACCGAGCAGAACAGAAAAATAGTTTAAAAAGTAGAAAAAATACGCTGCATCTTTCTGGGAAGTGCTTAAGAGATTGGCTGTAAGGTTCACATCAGGGAGCGGATGGGGGGTGGATTGGTTGTAATTATATTGTAATAATTTACCTGTGCCTAGGGGAGGGGGAGGGTTATGGTCAGAGGGTTAGTTATTGGACCTTGCATGGTCCTTTACGGTTGTTGGCATACGTTATGCCGTAATGTATACACTGTTGTGTATGAATGGGGTGCTATGTTGGTGCCCGAATGTTACTGTAATGTAATTGTTTACTATGCAAAATGAATAAAAAGATTTAAAAAAAAAAGTAGAAAAAAATTAATAGAAAACGATTGTGCGGAGCTAGCAGTGACAGCTAGCTCCGCCCAACTGTTTTCTATTGGCCAGCGGTTCTGCTGCCGTCAAAAAAAAAGAAGAAGAAGAAAACTCTCCCGGGCGTTCCAGGAGTCTCCCACTCCCGGCCGCCAAGGAGAGAAACACTGCTTTTTCTTTTTTTTTCTTTATTCTGACACGGAGTCGTGTCAGAATAGAAAAAATAAATAAATACATAAGCTAGCCGAAGGATCGGCCGAAGCTACGGCTAGATCCTTCGGCTGCTTCGTGAATAGACCCCATAGTTACAGTAAGTAGGGTACACATGGTACAAATGTCCGCTGGTTCCTGATGAAGAAAAATTTGCACAGTTGACACCCTTCCACCCGACATCCCTCGATCAGCTGATCAAAGGAGCAGATTGGAAAATTCTCAGCCAAATGGAGCTAACAACCAATCAGCTGCTGTCTCTGTTTGAGTATTCTGACAGCAGCCGGTGGCTGCTGTTGGACTAGAATGCAAACATCGGGGGGGAATCTGCTATATTTTTTTCATCAAGCTTGCGGATTAAATGAAAAAAATAGAGACGTGTATACACAACTATAGTGAGAGAGGTCAGAGGAGAATGGAGTGATCTGAGGTACACTGCAGCATGGGTGCATTGCCTGCTTCTCTAAAAGTAAGTTGAGTGTCAAGCCACACTTGAGTCCTCCTATATTCACTAAGTTGACCACCACTCCATTAAAGTGTATCTAACCTGAATAATAGTAATATATTGCAGCTTATCAGTCCATAGATGTGGTGGCTGCATTCGTTTTCTTTTTCAGGTATGTTTTTCTTTATTTTCACCTGTTGATCATGCCAGTAACACACTTCCTGTCCTAGGGTGACCACGCTTATTTATTGTACTGTATCTATGAAGGAGCAGTGATGCCACCAAAGGACAGGAATTCTGTTAGGACTAAAGAACACCCCTCAACACCACTACTCATCTCCATAACATGGGGGGGATGTTCTGTTGTTTACAGAGCTAAACAGTGCATGGTTAAAAGAGAACTATGCGGTACGTGTTTTTCCCCATAGTTCTCTTAAGGCCTCATTCACACACAACGCAAGAGCAAAATTGTATATGCTCGTATATATGCGTATACACGAGCGTATATGCGCGTATATACGAGCATATGTGCGTATATGCGTGCACTATTTGCATTCCCAGAATGCATCATTCCTAATAGAAATCTACGCACATCTGCGCGAACATGCGTATGCGCGTAAAATACGCAGAAATACGCTGCCCGGACACACCTCGGTTCCATTCTGTTTTTGCGCATTTTTACGCTATGCAAATATACCTCCATATGCGGCTATGTGTATGGAGCCATTTATTTGCATATGTTGCATATGGTACAATACGCACGTACCCGCGTATATGCACTGCAGTGTGAATGAGGCCTTAGGGTCACGGGAGGACATATACTAACCTCCTCCCGTGACCAAAAGCTTAGTATATAGCGAGCTATTGCCCGTGATCCTCACAGGCTGAAATTCATATACCTAAAAGTATTCATTGTAACTATAATGAATTTTTTTTTACGTCACATGATTATCTTTAAAAAAAAGAAGTTGCAGTGCTGTAATAAGTGTTTCCTGCATGATATGTTGGCCTATTTGAAATGTCAATCTGTTTTGTTAAAGGGGACTTGCCCATTGTCCTGTGCCATTTGGCACTGCAGAGATATATTGATGACCTTTCACTAGAAGGTTCTCAGGACAACAGAAAGGATGTGATGGAAGTGAAGGGCAGGAGATGGATGTCTGCGGGCAGGAAAGAGTGCGCTTGACAAAGTAAATTTATTGCTTTTCACTTCCCTTACATGTATGTGTGTACACGGCTATGGGATTTACTATCCTGATTGCTGCTGTGTAACTTTCACTAACAGGCAGAACTAACTTTTCAATGGGTTTTATAGTAGTGTGCACCTATAATTCCACTTGTCAGTTAACTTTAAAGGCAAAGTCAACTTTTTACAAAAACATAGGAAATGCACACTTCTTCATAAAAGAAAAAAATGAACATTTAATTATTTATTTATGTTTCCAGTGGAGCCAGTGAAGCAATGCATCTGCGATCAGTAGATCATGGGTGCAATACTCTGGCTCCTGCAGGCTGTTCCTTCCCATCCGTGTCCATACCAAGGTACGGATATTCAGTAACATTTGAAGAAAGAGTCAATTCGGCCGAAGCTACGGCCAGATCCTTCGGCAGCTTTGTGTATAGACCCCTAAGTGTGGTGAGGTCACTGTTCTTGTATTCCAGCGGTGGCTGATAGGACTTGCAGTTTCTCCATTTACAGATCCTGTCAAAGGAACTGTAAATGGATGATGCAACTGTGTGGGAGGAGCCGTGCACCGCCAAAAGGTGAGAGGAACCCCAATATGAGCCTGATGAAGGGACTCTGTGCGGCCCCGAAACATTGCCATTCTTGTGACAAAACGTATATACGTCAATAAAGACTTATGATCAATGAGAAGCGCTTCTGACCACGTTGACCAATAAGAAGCACTTCTTAGTAAGAAGCACTTCTCATTGATCAGCGCTGTCAGGTGACCGAACTGAACAATGAGTGCTCGCCATTTGCAAACAGAATTTAAAATACCAACCGCGGGGCTGCGCTGCTGTGTACAATGTGCGGGTCCTACAGCGGCAGCCATGAAGGGGAAGTAGAGTTCTTTGACAGGTGAGAGCAGAGGTGAGAGAGGGGGCACCAGGGGGTAATTCTATTTTCCCAAATTCGCCTGGGAAAGTGGAATTACCCTTTAAATTCTGCTTTTCCAACTAAATTTTCTAGTAGTTATATTCATATTGGGCTATATACATGGAATTATAATAGACGTGTACATTTTGTTTAGTTCCCAATGAATATTCGTATGAATTTCGTTAAATTTGGATGCACCCAAATTTCCGAATGTGAACATTTCTAAATGTGAACGAATCCAAATGTTCCTTTTAACGAAAAATGTGGTCCATTCAGAATCTGTTCGAAACTAAATTAAATCGGACATGTGACAGTTTTCTGGCCGATCAGATTTTTATTTTGCTGGGGGTTGCATTAGAGACACGGCCATGTCACTTCCTGTTTCTTTCCGAAACGAAAATTTGGACGGATATGAAATCCGAATTCATGAAACTAATCAGATTTCGGCTCTGAAAAAAGAAAGATATAAATATCTGAATTGTTACGAAATGAAACAAAACACATTTTTTGGGGGGCCACATGTCTAAATTATAAGATGTGAAAGGAAGAGCAGCGGGCTAACCAGCAGCACAGCTGATTCAGCACTTGAAGAACTACAATTCCCAGCACATCTGGTCAGCCATTGGCTGGTATTTATAGATCCTCAGCAGCTACGACTCGCCCAGCCTCTCTGCAAGGCTACACAGGATGCTGTCTTGTAAACTGAGTACAGATCTGGCATTCAACATCCAGTATAACCAATGAGTGGACAGTTTAGACAAAGGCAGTCAGGACAAAACTCTTTGCCTTTTCTGGTATCACTTCCACTTCATCCGCACAGTGGAAGAGAGAGGCGCTCGCTTTGATATGCTGCACATTATGTGACTGTGCCCTGGCTCCAACCGCTGGATTAAATCACAGAATCGGACATCTAGAAGATAGTGAGTACACAATGAAAACTGCTACATGACTGCCAGGCTGGAATGAGCAAGTCTTTTGTCTTATTAGTAACTAAGTGCAGCCAGGATTTTAAGTGTATCTAAAGCCAGAACTTTTTTTGTCTGTTACTGTTGGATAGATTAATAAGAGATGAGCAGCCCTCTGTTTTTCCTGGTGACCACTGGACTGAAAGGGAGCGATAAACCAAAAGTCTGAGTTGTCACTAAAAAAGGAATAGAAGGAATATCAGCCAGAGGGGACACTTGTTGCAGTAACTTCATAAGAGGGGATTTCCCTCACTTCCTCTCCCTTCCTGTTCTGTCTACAGAATGGGACGCAGATGCCCCCCAAAAATGACGGGTTTAAATTATTTATTGCTCTACCCAAAATAAAAGTTTAGACTTTATATATACTTTAAAGTGTATGTGATCCCTAGAAATAATTTTTTCTTGTTTGTTCCCTTTTGCTCTGGTGCATATGCCACTGGAAGTGTTTTATTTGTTCCATAAATGTAAAAAAAAACCTCAGAAATCTAGAGCTGTCTCGTGTCTTCTGCACACTTTCTGCATTAATCAGCCCTCCTAGTTCTTATCTTGGGACTACAGAATGATTACCCTTTGTGTTGTAGAGATCTCAAGTGCGATGGTTTGAGCAGTTTGGTAAAAGAAAGCTGGGCTGGGCAGACACCATTCAGTTTACAAAACAGAACACAACAGGAGCTGAGTGCATTTCTGGCAGATCAGCAGGTATTTGTCTGTATTTGCAGGATCTTTAAGTCGCCATTCACACCTAAGCATTTTGTGAACGCACAACAAGCTGCGCACTTTGACGGAACGCATAAAAAAAGAGCAACGCACTAGCGGTGCCATTGTATCTTAAAACGCACTCAAACACATGGAAAAAAAATGCAGGATGTGCGAGGCAGATTTTGCTACATGCACAACTTTTCCGCGTTTGTCGCGCGTGCAGCACTGATTAAAATCAATGCGGGGCAACATGATGTTGATGTCTTGTTGCTGTGGGTTATGGCACTTTGCTGATTTTCACTGAACTGTATTATAAGATAAAACCGATAGTGTTGCTTAGGGATGCAACGATAGCTATAGTAGTATCAGTATCGGTGCTGATACCAAGTATTTGGGCAAGTGCACATACTCACCTAAATTCTTTGAAACTTTTCCTGATACCGGAACTTCTTGGTGACAAGGGAGCATGGAGCTGGCTTCCCGGCCAATCAGGAAGCCGGGCAGTGTGTAATGACTCGCCGCCCGGTTTCCGGATTGGCCAGCTTCCCTACCAATCAGGCAGTACTTGCCCAAATGCATTGATACTAATCCCGACACCGTAACTTCCGGTATCAGGAAGCCGAGCGGCGAGTCATAACACACCGCCCGGCTTCCTGATTGGCCGGGGAACCAGCTCCATGCTCCCTCGTCACCAGGGAG